TACAGCCGTTGAAGATGTCATCGATTCTGCCAGTAAAGTTGTTTGTGGACAGATTTGCAACAACCAAGCTGTTGCAGAACAGTGGGAAGCTAGACTGAATATCACCCGCAATCCTATTCAACGAGAGATCAAGAACCTCAAGATTTGACAAACCAGGTAAGCTAAGCTTTCCATCAAGAATATTGTGAGAAAGATTAAGATGCTTTAGGTTGTGACAACGGCTCAGGTCATCTGGAATTGACCCTTCGATAGTGTTCCTCGATAAATCAAGATACGTGAGCTGCGTTAAGGCCGAGAGTTGCCGAATAAAGCACCTGAAATGGTGGAGTCACTTAGATTGATCCCTGTTACTCTACTTCCTGGAGGTGTACATATGATCCCAGGCCAGTGACACACTTCTTGCTTCTCCATTATCCATTGGGTATGTATCCCTCGGTTTTGTGGGTTCCGTGATTCGAGATACGATTTCAGGCTTAACAAGGCTTCTCTATCACTGTCCAAAGAATCTCCAGCCACGGCTACGGCTGCCTCGGAAGAAAATCAAAACACATAAAATGAAATCTTCAGATATATAACAAAACTTACCAGCAAAAATTATCTATAATATGCGTAAACTACGTTATCATGCCATGTTAGTCAAACATAGGAAAAACTGAAATGTGAAGTTGATAACTCGAAATTACTTGAAGTAAACAACTCTAATGTAGAATATAAGGTAAGGAAAAGCAAAAAACATGTAGAAATTGGCACAAAACTCAATGAAGTAAACTTCAAAGAATTAAAAACCATAACAGAAGCGCATAGTTAAGCACCCAGTATATGATTCCCAACGAAAACTCACAAAAAAGAAAGAAAAGTAGAAGAATTACCAGTGATCAAAACGAAAAGTAAGAAAGAAACCAAATTAATTGATTCAGAATCATCATCTGCCATTATCACAGGGGTGACCAACTTAATCATCCTCCACATCGTCTTCTACATCTTCTTCAAGATGGTATTCAAGTTTCCGTGGGAATAGTTGTATATCTACAAAGTCAAAAGTCCCGATTATTCAAAACACTTAGAAAAGTCGTGTGGCATACGTAGCGTTAGGGATCACTATCGTTTAGTTTGAATCACATGAGAAGACGACTCGTGCTGACATACAAAGCGCAAGGGGGTCTCTTTAGAAAATTATCATAATCCTGACGAAATAATACAATGAATTAAAGATGTAACCTTTGAAATCTGCTGAACAACCACTAGGTAACTTGAAGAAAATCCAAACTATGAAATAGAGGTATTGATTGTGAAACAGAGAAACCCAGAACAATCACTAGATGACTTAAACTCTTGAAGCATCCAATAATGCGGGATTTTCTCCAAGTTTGAAATCATCATAGTTATCTAAAAACAGACACATGAACCACACGCAAGTTGTGCTTTGGGTTTTGTGAAAAAAAAAACAACAATGGATGGTCCAACAAAAATATAAGGATGATGCAAACTGATTTTATGCGAACAAAAATTAAATTTTGTTAACAAAGTAAATGAAAAAATAACATAGCTCACTCTTAATTTGACACAATAAAATCAGTTGGAGTGGCCCTCTTTAATAATTTTTTTGTGTCAACATTTCAATATTTTTAAACGAACATTTAAATATTTTTAATTTGAAATTTTTTTAGTACAAAGGGTGTGGCATTGAAAGGCTATATATCACGACGTTACCGCCAACACCAACGCCACCGTATTGCGTTCTGGCCTCTGCCGAAACAAAAAATACTCATGAAAGAGCGGGTCCATCAATTGGGTCGACCCGGACCTTCGAATGAAGCCGGAACAGAGTTTGAGTCGTACCCAGCTTTCTACCAGGCGTCAATATTCCGGCAAGACGCAGAATTAGGTTTGGTCCAATGGTGAGCCCAAGCCACTAAACGCCATCGTGGAAAAAAACCGATAAATGGATCGCCGTTTTTGTGGGAATATGAGAGACGAGTGGATTTTGTTTGCAATTTTGACAAAGGGGAGGCGTTGCTAAGTAAATAAATACTATTCTGTATTAGTTCTTTATATACGGAAATAAATAAAAAGGCAAAAAAGCTTAAAAAGTCTTCTCAACCAAAACTATGGGAATATTCGGGAGAATGTAAATTGAAGTTGAAGACGATGTGATATATATTCGCCCAAGAACGGCAAGCCAAACACGCAGGTCAATGGAGTAAGAAAGAAAGAGTGTGACATATTATTAGAGATTATAAAACACTCTTTATAAAGTAGTACATGGACAAGAACCTATAGAGTCGGATAAGAGACCGAAGAAAGCGAATCGAATCAGACAACCTATCCGATCGATCCAGGAGATCGTCATGATTCTTACAAGTAAGTTAGCTTCTCAAATTTCAACTTTTCTTTTTTTGGTTTTATGTTATGGGTTTCTTATGCTTAATTTTTTCTTGGTATGGTGTTGTAGACTCGATTGATTGCTTCTATTGCATTAGATTTGTTGATTTTTTTTCTAATTTGCCGTTTCCTCTTTAAATTCACTCTCGTCTTATGGAATTCGCATAACCATTATCAGCACCCTTTGACTTTCTTGCTCATCCATGAAACTGAAGACTCTGGATTTGTTTATTTATATGATTCTATTTAATTGGCTTTGTTTCCTATTCCACTACAAGTTAAAAAAAAAAGTTTGGGTTTTTAATTTGTTTTTCGCTTTTGTTCTGCTATTACTGTTAACCGAAGCTTGTAGGAAAGTAAAGTTTAATACAAAGTGGGTTATTGGTGATCTTGCTTACAGAGTGCTTACCCTTGGTATGGTTATCTCTACTTACTGTGTCTGTGTGTGCTGGGAGGACATTGTACTCACTCCCTGGTAAAGAACCTGAAAGTGTTAAGCTTCCACTTCAGACTACACGTCCCTACAACATCGCACACAGAGGTTCCAACGGAGAGATCCCAGAAGAAACTGCAGCTGCATACTTGGTATACCGTTGCCCCCTTTCTTGATCAATCTCCTTCTGCTTGTTTGAAATGGATCTTCTTCCCTAGAATGTTGTTACTAAAGCATTTTCTTTTCTTTTTTGGTCTTTTGACAGAGAGCAATTGAAGAGGGTACAGACTTCATAGAAACAGATATCTTATCATCCAAAGATGGTGCACTTATATGTTTCCACGATGTTATCCTTGACGAAACAACCAATGTTGCGACTCACAAGGAGTTTGCTGATCGGAAAAGGACATATGAGGTGCAAGGATTTAATGTCACTGGCTTTTTCCCTTGTAAGTTACCATCATTTTCCTGAGCTCATGGTTTCTGTCTCAGCATTACTGGCATCTTTTTCAGCATTTAGAGTCTTCCTCGAAAAACTTGTGTACATAATCTCATTTAACAACTGCATAGAAAAGCATCAACTTGGTTTATTTGAATTTGAGACATTTTCTAACAACTGATTCCTCTTTGATTGCTTGTAGTTGACTTTACTCTCAAAGAACTGAAGAAACTACGAACAAAACAGAGATATTCTTTTCGGGACCAGCAATATAATGGTTAGCTAGCCTATCTTTCCTGGATTTAGCTGTTGGAAGAAATTATAAATTCAACCATGACCATCTCTTGTTTGTTGTATTGCAGGAAAATACCCTATCATTACATTTGAAGAGTTCATTACCATTGCTCGGGACGCTCCAAGAGTTGTTGGGATATATCCTGAGATTAAAAATCCAGTTTTAATGAACCAGCATGTGAGTCGCAATCTTCCAACAAGCTTGATTATTACTTCACTGAAATTCATTAGATTGAATTAAAAGCCTCAGTTGGTTCAAATTTGCAGGAAATGATTACCTTTTTGCTTTCATTTCCCTGAAAAAGACACCTTAACCGTTTCTTCTATCACTGTTATATATTTGCAGGTCAAATGGCCTGGTGGTAAGAGATTTGAGGATAAATTTGTGGAGACACTTAAGAAGTATGGGTATGGAGGCTCATATTTGTCCAAGAAGTGGTTGGAAAAACCATTATTTATTCAGTCATTTGCACCAACTTCACTCGTTTACATATCAAATTTGACAGACTCGCCAAAAGTCCTTCTAATAGACGACGTTACCATGCCAACGCAAGACACTAACCAGGTCAATGCTCTGCTCGTCATATTGTTTTTCGATTCTTGAAAGTGCTTTTGCTTCTATTAAAAGTGACTCATCGTTCTTATTTGTAAATCTAAGCAGACATACGCAGAAATCACATCAGATGCGTATTTTAACTACATTAAGCAATATGTGGTGGGGATCGGACCATGGAAGGATACAATTGTTCCAGTAGATAGTAACTATATGCTAGCCCCCACAGATTTGGTCAAAAGAGCTCACACACATAATCTACAGGTAGGATTTAATCTTTTTTTCCGGAGACTGGAAGAGTCAGTAACATGTATCTGATAATAACTTTTTCGCCATTTTCTTTGTAATACATACTCAGGTGCATCCATATACGTACAGGAATGAACACGAATTCTTACACTTTAACTTTAGCCAAGACCCATATAAGGAGTACGACTATTGGATCAATGAGATTGGAGTTGATGGACTCTTCACTGATTTTACAGGCAGCCTCCATAACTTTCAAGAATGGACATCTCCATTACCTGATACCTCCAAGTCACCACGACAGCTTCTGAGTCAAATTGCCTCATTGGTCCTCCCTTATGCTAAGGCTTGAAGTTACACATTAACACCTATCAGTAAACCTATTGTTTGCCATTAATTGTGTAGAATAAAGTCTTAATGATAACACAGTTGTTAAGAAGCAGAGGAGTGTTAAAGATCAAATTAAAGAAAAAAAGACAGCAATCTTATCAAACTGTATTTGTTGACTTCACAAGATTAAACACAAAAGCTAAAAAACGATTTTTGTAAATCTTGGAACAAACTTCTATAATACAAAGAAGAAGATAACAATTTCTCTATCAAACTGAAACGATACACAAATCAAACTCACTCCCTTCAGAAAAATGTTCCATTTAGACGCAGAAGGTTGTGCAACAAGGGAAGCAAGATAGCCATTTGGGGTTGTGATTAGTTGCACGATCAGCTTCTGCTTTGGGAGCTACTGATTTAGGAGCTTCCTCTTTCTTCAATCCTTCATTTCCATCAGCCTCATTTGAAATCTTTGGTGTCTCAGGCAGCGAAGGATTCCTCTGCTTGTTTTCAGGAGTGGAACCTTGTTGTAGCCCGCCCTTGTCTGCATTCCCCAATCTACGCAATAAGAAACCAAAAAATGTGAGAAAAGAAAACACATTTCTGTTTGGAGACATGAAACAGATGATCGTAGAAAGTTTTTCTTACACTGGAAAAGCGAAAGACTTGAGACTAAAATCTTCGGAGCGACGAGAAACAGAACGATCAAGTTTATTGGTTTTGTTGGTGTTGGTGTTGTTGTCTTTGTTAGCAGCTTCATTAGCCATGATAACCTCTCTTATACTGGCTGCAGCTTTTTGTTCGTCTTCTTTACTTGCGCGGTAAGCCTTGTCTGTTTCAGCTGCTTTCTTGGCTATATCCACGGGAGTTTTGGCCTCAGCCACCACTACACCTCCCCCTGCGGCTCCTCCTTGGTTTGCGTTTTGGGGCGGGGATGGTAAAGGAGAAGGCAAAGGAGGAGTTATTGGTGAAGGAGGCTGAGGAAACGTGAGCTCGCCCGATTTGAAATATTCTCCTCCGGTGAAGCTATTGTTACCCATATGGATGCTGAAGAGAGATTCGTTGGACATAGTGCTCCATTCAACTGGAGTCGTAGAGGTTGTTCTTGCGAAGACATGTGAAGGAATTCTGTAGGGAGGTGTAGTAGGGCTCGAGGTTGTTGTTGTTGTGTTGTTTGTGGACCGCTCCATGACTTGTGTCGGAGGAGATTGCTCTACATAGAAGTTGTTTAGATTCTGGTCAGGTCTTGGTTCGGCTTCTATGGAAGAACAGGACGAGGAAGAGGAAGAAGAAAGCCGTAAGATTGGATCTTCTGATTCAGGTTTAGATGCTAAGTTTGTCGAGTTTTGGTTCGTGGGAATAAAAAAACTTTGTTCTTGAGATTCCATGATTCCAAAACGTAAGAATTTTTGTGTTCTTGGGTTTTAATTAACTATTTCTTGCCAATATTTCAAATCTGCAACGTAACAAGAGAAAGACAAATAATTATAAATTAAATTTCATCAAAGAAACAAGAAAAAAACGATCAAAACGATGAAGAGAATTAGTTAGCCTTACGTTTCAAAGGAGGACGACGAAGACGATGAACACATGCAAGATGAGATTAATTTTAGAAAATTTCAAAAGATGTGGAGATTGAGAGTTTAAAGGACATGCACGCGTCAAGGAGTTCTTATTTTTTCTTAATAAAAAAATTATTGCTAATCAACTAATTTTAATCAACTAATTTTCGCCATTTCTAATTTAATCCAGACATCCAGTTTCGGTTTCGATTGGTTTAGTATAACCGGGTCTAAATAAAACTCTGTGGCAGTCAGATCAGCGGGTGAATCCAACTCAACGGTCAAGATTATATCCAATAAATCAACGGTCAGGATAAGCGAAACTCTTTAGCTTAAGCCTCTCTCGTACATTGGTTTCAGGGTTTTCACTACTGGCGAGAATTGAAAGACGCTTCCAGAGAGATCATCTCCGTTAAACCCTAGAGAGTGAGTACAGTCTCGTCGATTCTTCTTCTTCTTTCTGTTTAATTGTTCGTAGCTTTTGATTTTATGGATTCGATCTTTTATTCCGATGTTTCAATCGTTGATCCGAAACTAGATTCTTCTCTGTTTGCTCATTATTTGTTTACGGTTCTCGTCTGCAAGCCTAGGACTTTGATTTGGAGTTTATATGTGTTTATTGATGTATCATTTCATGTTTCTGACCACTGGATGACGCGATATATGGGGTTTAGTGAGTTGACCTTTGTAAATTTGTTGCCGGAATTAGAACTGATGTTTTTATAAATTTCACCCTTCGAACTGATGTTTGCTGCTGGAATTAGAAATTTTGTAATCTTATATTGTGAAAGGATAGGTTTTTCGGTTACCATACGTACGTATAGCAAAACATGAGAACATATCATGAAGTTTCCAGTATTTTTCTTGTATTTTGCATGATTTATCCTATGAAAGAATTTGTTTTTGTTACTTCTATTGACGATTGAATTGATGGGTCTCACGTTTTTTTTCCTGAGTTTTATCTTATGCTTCTGGATTTCTGAAATCGCTATCTATATTTTGATCTGTCCTTAATTTGTCTAACCACTAAGTGAAAGCTCTTTCATTTGCTTCCAGATTACGGGTATTCACCACATGGCTTTCTTAAGTAAAGTTGGAAGGATATTTAGTCAGACCAGCACCAATGTCACTGCCTCTAGCTCAATGCTACAGAGCATACGTTGCATGTCTTCATCGAAAGTCTTTGTTGGAGGTGACCAAATCTCTATTTCTCTCCACACTTCTTGTTTGGTTCTTTTTCTCTCTTCTTATTTTTCTCAAAATTGTCTATGTTGCTTCAGGTATCTCCTACAGCACTGATGAGTTTGGCTTAAAAGAAGCTTTTAGCAAATATGGAGAAGTTGTTGATGGTATCTATTATCTAACTATCTCTTTTTATGTTATTGCAAAAGTCTAGCCTTTTAAGTTTTTAACTCCTTGCTTCTGAATAATATTCGACCTTTTTTTACTCTTGGCAGCTGACTAAATTTTATTAAATGCAGCAAAAATTATTGTGGACCGTGAAACTGGCAGATCAAGGGGATTTGCTTTCGTGACATTTACTTCAAGCGAGGAGGCTAGTAATGCCATGCAATTGGATGGACAGGTAACAAATGAATGTTGCAGCGTCTTTTGATACTGAAGTGTTGTGTTGGCTTATTCTTTTGTCATTTCTTTCCTTTTTGACTCAATGTCTTGCTCTGTATGTTTAACTTTTTTCAAAGTCGGTTGTGCCTTTACGATGCATGTTTCTTGAAGTTTTTTTTATATTTCAAACATTGGCAACATAGATAGGGTAGGTGGCATCATCAGCTTTAAATACGATTCATCCGTTAAGCAGCGACTTGCTCTTTCTTAATGAAGGGATAAGATGTAGAGCAATATATCATTCTATTTGTGGATTGTATTCTCGTTACAAAAAAATATTTGTATTAAGGTTCTGTCTAGATGATTCAGAACACGGTGAAATTGTACCTTCTCTGTTTAGCATTGTCAATTAGTTATTTTTTTGTTTTTCTGCTTGCATACAGGACCTTCATGGTCGAAGAATTAGGGTGAATTATGCAACTGAAAGAGGAAGTGGGTTTGGAGGAAGGGGATTCGGTGGCCCTGGTGGTGGATATGGTGCTCCAAATGGTGGTTACGGTGCTCCCTCTGGTGGTTATGGAGGGAACTCTTCTTATGGTGGAAATGCTGGTGGTTACGGAGGTAACTCTCCGTATGGTGGCAATGCTGTTGGTGGCGGTGGTGGTGGTGGTTATGGAAGCAATTTTGGCAGTGGTAGCGGATATGGTGTTGCAGGTGGTGTTGGTGGGAGTGACAACTTTGCCCAAGGCAGCTCCACGAGTGCTGGCTTTGATAACAAGTTTGGCAGTAACCAACCATTAGGCAACGATACAGATCATCAGCTGGAAAGTGGTTTTGGAGGTGATGAACAATTTGGTGGCAGTGAAAATCAATTTGGTGATGCAGAGAACGGTAAAACAGAGAATGGTCCTGATGGGTTTGATCATACTGACGATGGTGATGTTGCTAAGAGAGCCTAGTCTCTACAATTGTCGAGTCTTCCTACCTTTGCGTCAGTCTTGGAACTTTTGTTATACTGGTTCAGTCTTAACTAGTGGAAGTTTCTTAATTTCTACTTTTGACGTTTGTGGTTTGTTTATCATGTAGGAACCTCTCTATTGTTGGTCGCGTTTTTTCCTTGTTTTCTGACATTTGAGGCCACATAAAATAATAAAAACTGTAATAACTTATAACAGAGACGTGTTTATTCTATGGAAGCTTTTTTCCGACTAAAGAGTAGAAACCACTAATTAAATGAGTTAACAAGAGACGATCCAATTTGCTTTGGTTGCCACGGCTTCAACGACGTAGTTGAACTCCGGGGAAAAAGAGGATCAAACTAGAAAAATCTTACACCGGAAAACTCGCCGCCGATTTTGTTTTCGGCTCGTTGGTCTATGTTGTTATATCATGGAGAAGAGAAATGCACTACTGAACTGAGAAATTACACTTTTACCCATTATTTTAATATTGAAAACTAATATTTTTAAATGTTTTCAGTAAATCGTTGCGGTTCACAAATTGGTATCCGTCGCCGTTCACGGCGAATTTGCGAGAAGCGCAACTGTGCTTTCATTAAAACCTCATAAACCCTAACCACTCTTGGAAGGTTCGCGAAGGTTCTCAGTCCTTTCTCTCTGTAACGGAAATGGCGAAGAAGAGCACCGATTCGAGCCATGAGCAACCTCTTCTGAGTTATCGAAAGAGCGTCGAAATCAAAGCCACGACCGATCAGTTTTTCGGTAAGCCACGAGTCTCTCTTCTTTGCTTTGGATATCGTTGTAGATTTGATATCATGATTAAGCTTAGACGATGAGATTTTTAGCGAAATGTGGTGACCACGCCTGAATCATGTTCCGTGGCATTGATGTAGTTTGGAGAGAGTTCTTATGGGGAGGTATAGCTGGAGCTTTTGGAGAAGGGATGATGCATCCTGTGGATACTCTGAAAACCAGACTTCAGAGTCAAATTATCATGAATGCAACTCAGGTATTATTAACTAGACATCACTTTTTCAGTGGCCTTTCGGGAGTTTATCATCTCTAATCGTGTTTAGTTGTTGATTTCAGAGGCAAAAGAGCATTCCGCAAATGCTCAGGACTGTCTGGGTTGGTGATGGCTTGAAAGGTATATTATCCTTGCGCTTTTCCCTCATCTTCTTCCAGCTTTCAAGTATGACTGTATTATTTATGGTTGTGTTGCAAACTTAGAACATTAAACTATCTATGCTCTGTATTTTGCTACTGACCCTATTTTAGGCTTTTACAGGGGCATTGCTCCTGGAGTCACTGGATCTCTTGCTACTGGAGCAACCTACTTTGGTTTTATTGAGTCCACAAAGAAATGGATTGAAGAGTCTCATCCTAGCTTAGCAGGGCACTGGGCGCATTTTATAGCTGGAGCTATTGGTATGTTATCTAATTGTCTCCTATGTCAGTCATCATATCATTGGAATAATGTAAAGATTGGAGGGAAACATATCTTCACTCAATTGTATATTGACTTAGAATGCCAAGCATGCAGCAGAAATGAAACTTGATATAACCTGGCTAAAGAATCAGGCATGTGAATGTTATGTGATGATTCTAACTTACGGATGTAGTGGGTCTTCAATAGATAAGATCCAGGTTTTCACCAAACCAAACAAGTGCAAGGTTGCAAGAATTGCTAATTGCTTACTTGAGAACATGTAGAACTGCATTTTTTATTACTCTTATCATGAGACGTCATTGATAGGCCTTGTTGTGAATATCATCATGAAAAATTGTGGCTGTATGTTTTTCATACACTTCATGAGGGGATTCCCAAAAAGATTGAAAATGAAAGTAAACCTAGAGTTATCTAAAGTTATAGAGGTTCTGATTCCCTTGTATTCTGCTGTCTCTTTCCCTGTTTCAGGTGATACACTTGGTTCTTTCATATATGTTCCTTGTGAAGTCATAAAGCAGCGGATGCAAATTCAAGGCACTAGTAGCTCCTGGAGCTCTTTTATTTCGAGGAACAGTGTTCCAGTGAAACCAAGAGGTGACATGTATGGTTATTATACTGGTATGTTCCAGGCTGGATGCTCAATATGGAAAGAACAAGGGCCCAAAGGACTATATGCTGGGTATGTAATTCTTGTTCAGGCTATTATGATGCAAATTGGATACATCATTCTAATTGTTGCAATCGTGTCAAGAGACCCATCTAACAATTATTTTTCTTTTTTGCTCTGGCAGATATTGGTCTACACTAGCTAGGGATGTGCCTTTTGCTGGTCTTATGGTATGCCTATGTAATATGGCATTTCAGTGAAAGTGTTACCTCTATACATCTTAGGGTCCTTGTCCTCATGTTCGGTCTGGTTTCCCTCTCAGGTAGTGTTTTATGAAGCATTGAAAGATCTAACAGATAAGGGAAAGAAAAAGTTTCCACAATATGGAGTCAACAGTTCGATAGAGGGTCTGGTATTGGGAGGATTAGCTGGTGGTACGTTAGAATGAGATCAGTTAAAAAAGAATCTGTTTCAAATAGCTCATCCAACATAGTGACTTTAATAAATGTATCTCCAGGACTAAGTGCGTATCTGACAACTCCACTGGATGTTGTAAAAACAAGACTGCAAGTGCAAGGATCAACGATCAAGTACGTATCACGTTCTTACAGATTCAAGCCATCATCTAACTAGCAACCAGAGTAGATTCAAGAACTTGTTTTGATTTAACTTGGTAATCTCGGTGAATTTTTAGGTACAAGGGATGGCTGGATGCAGTTGGACAGATATTGAGGAAGGAAGGTCCGGAGGGGTTTTTCCGGGGAAGTGTCCCAAGGGTCATGTGGTATATTCCGGCATCGGCACTCACCTTCATGGCCGTTGAATTCCTTAGAGATAATTTCAGAGAGAAAGGTAATAATAATAACAGTGTCGTCTCAAATTTGAGCATAGAGAGGAAAACATCTTCTTCTTCAGTACGTGAGGTTGGTGAGAATTAGTGAGATTCTTGTTCCCAAGTATAAAGAGAGGGGAGCATTCACAAACTTGTCTGTAAATGGCTTCAATGTTTTGTTTGCTCTTCTAAAATACGTTAACAACAATATGATACTTTTTTTTAATAAGATGCGTTTCTTTAATTAGCCTGAAGATAAATAATGAATGAATTATATAAGTTTATTGGACTATATATACATCTCCAAGGTCAAAATGACTCGAAATCTTAGGACAAAGCTTGAACTGGGTATGCGTTTAAAATCGACCAAAGAGGAAATAGCCTAAACCCTAAAAAAAAACAGGAGATGGCGTCTTCGTCTCGGTCGGAGAAACGATGCCACTACGAGGTTCTCGGTATCAGCAAGGAATCTTCGCCGGACGAGATTCGATCCTCTTATCGGCGTTTGGCTCTGCAACGTCATCCCGACAAGCTTATGAAAGCCGGTGGATTATCTGAGGCTGAAGCCACCGCCCAGTTCCAAGAGCTCGTTCACGCTTACGAGGTTCTGTCCGATCCTAAGGAGCGAGCCTGGTATGATTCGCACCGATCTCAGATTCTATTCGCTGACCATGGCTCAGCCGGCGGCTCGAAGTCAGGTGGAATGCCTGGCGGCTCTGTTCCGGATCTATTCGCTTTCTTCTCTACCACTGTATACTCTGGGTATTCAGATACTGGGAAAGGATTCTACAAGGTGTATTACGATGTATTTAACAGTGTTTACCTCAACGAGATTAAGTTCGCGAGAACGTTAGGTTTAAGGATGGATTCTGTGAGGGAAGCTCCGATTATGGGGAATTTAGAGAGTCCTTACGCTCAGGTGACGGCGTTTTATAATTACTGGCTAGGTTTTTGCACTGTTATGGATTTCTGCTGGGTGGATGAGTATGATGTGATGGCTGGGCCTAACCGGAAATCGAGAAGGTTGATGGAGGAGGAGAACAAGAAGGTGAGGAAGAAAGCTAAGAGAGAGTATAATGATACTGTGAGAGGTTTGGCAGAGTTTGTAAAGAAGAGGGACAAGAGAGTGATTGACATGATGGTGAAGAAGACTGCTGAGATGGAGAAGAAGAAGGAGGAGGAGAGGGAGAGGAAGAAGAAGATGGAGAAGGAGAGATTGGAGAGAGCTATGAACTATGAAGAGCCTGATTGGGCAAAGACTCAGGATGGAGAGGAGGAAGGAGCAGGGTTCAATGTATTGGACGAGGAGGATGATGATGCAGAGCGGAAGAATGAGCAGCTCTATTGCATTGTTTGTAGCAAGAAGTTCAAAAGTGAGAAGCAGTGGAAAAACCACGAACAGTCGAAGAAGCACAAAGAGAAAGTGGCGGAGTTGAGAGACTCACTCACTGATTATGAAGAGGACATAGAGGAGGAAGAGATTGATGGGTCACTGGACCCACCTGAAAGTGTAGAGCAGCTGCATGAGAAGCTTCAGGAGGGGCTAAATATTGACAGTGAAGAAAAAGATGTTGAGGAGGAAGTTGCAGGTGGAGCTGATGAAACTGATGAGGAGTATTTTGTGGCAGAGGAGGACATGGAAGGATCTAGTGAAAGTGAGGCTGAGGACGACGATGACGAGATGAGTCTACTCAAGAAAATGGTACATGGGCAGAAGAATAAGCGAAAGAATGCCGTACCAATGGAAGAAGACGAAGTTGAAGTCGGGATTGAGAGTAACACAGCAGAGTTCAGCGAATTTGATAACCAGAAAAGCACAGGCAGAAATAAAGAAGAGAAGGAGGAGAGAAATAAACAGAATGCTGGAAAAGACATGGCAGATGATACCAGAAAAGTACAGATACCTAGAGACGACGATGATCCAGATGAAAATGTGAATGCAACGGACTCAGCTTCCGAAGCATTTGAGGGTTCTCAGAAGGTTGAGGCAGATTCAATGGAGTATGATAACAGGAAGGCAACAGGCCGGAGGCGCAGAAGCAAAAAGGGTAAGGATAAGAATAACCATGGCGGATTAACAGAAAAGAGCAGTGAAGCTGATGATACTCCATATGTAAATCGAGACATGGAGGCGCAGGATTACAAGAAGGCTCCCAGATCAAAGAAATCCACCAGAGGAATGAAAACCAAGGTAAAATCTTTATCTCCTTGTAGCATCACTAAATCACATATATGGTGTGATAACTATTGAAATCATATATATCAAAATGCAGGGCACAACGAAGAAAAACAGTAATAATGAATGCGATAGATGTGGAGAGGAATTTGAG